AAATGAAAAGCTAATTCGGTGAATTTATTTTCAGAAACGTAGTTTTGCTATGCAGTGGCTTAATTATGTGAGCACAAGTGTATATACAAAGTTTTAAGTTAATAAATATGTTCGCGGCTATTACAACAATGCTTAATAATTTTCGGAAACTATGACGGGAACAAACGTAGGTACAAGAAAAATATCTTGTACTCTTTAGAGTTGCGTTACACTTTGTTCACAGTTGTTGCAATGTTGCATAAATAAATACAAAAGGTTTTAAAAATATTTGTAGGTATGACATATATGTGTACACTTCTATATACATATGCAGTTTTTTAAATTAAAAACAAAATGAATGTCAGTTATATTGTGTGTACTGCTATCTTGCTGAGAATTTTTTCTATTAAACGTAATGGCAGCACTGGCACATATGCTAATTTGAAAACAGCTGGCAAATAGGAATTGTTTACATTTTACTTCTCGTTGTGTACATTATTTTGTTTCTATAATTATGGATAGTTCTGAGGAAAAGGTAATTTTGCATTAAATTCTATTTAAATATTTAGAAATAAAATGCGTATTTTCATTTTAAGTTCTCGTGGACGCAACAATTGACAATGAAACTCATACAAGAAGTCGAGCGTCGTCCATGCATTTGGAGCCGTGCAGATGGTGATTACTCAAATAAAACAATGAAAGCAATTGCATTTGATGAAATCGGTGAAATACTGAATGTGCCAAGCGCCAACGTACGTGAAAAATTCCGAAATCTACGCATAAATTTCATGCAGGTGCATAAAAAGAAATTGTCTGCCGGTAGCAGAGCAAACTATGTACCAAAATGGGAGTTTTACAATGCATTACTCTATATGGCGGATACGTGTGTAGCTTCTTCGATATCTTCTGCGTCGTCAACCACATCAAAATCAACAAAACGACGAAAATTGCGCGATTACAAAACAAATACACAAGATACGCCTATAACTACAGATCCCTTGTTTGACGATTGCAATAGTTCACAGACGACACAATTTAGCCACGACAAAGAGTCGCGTTCAAAGTTTGTCGAATATGTAACACCCTTCAAGAGAACAACGGACAATTTAAGTGAAACGGAAATGCCTGTTAAAAGAACCGCAGACAAATTTGGCGAATGTATAGAAACGCCTAGATCATCGCATGTAAAGTTTGGCGAATATATAGCATTTAGTCTTGAAAATCTCGACGACACGCAATTAGTTAAGAAAACAAAAGCTAAAATACAGCTCATCATATCCGAAGCAATAAGAGAACGTGCCATGGCCGAATTGGCTCTGTGCGAGTCTAGTGCGGAATTTTAAAACATTTCTCATTAACATATCCGCACTCCATTATATTTAAAATTCGAGTTGGTTTACTTCGATTTTTTGAAACACAGGTTGTACAATGGTTTGATATATTATATGAGCTTCTTATTGTAATATTTAAATAGAAGGCGGAATTTCGAACATCTACACGGACGGATCAAAAATAAGCATATTTACTGAGTTTTGAGCCACAAGGACATGCCAGGGACCGCCAAGGCATGGAAGAAAATACGCATGCTTTTTCTTTACACAGTTTCGCAAAGACTGCGGGAAAGTTGTTGGCATAGTCACAGGTCACAACTTACTGGCAGCACATGCGAATCTTATGGGCATTATTAACGATAACACAAATAAAGCATGAGGGCGAGAACAGCGTCTCTTACCTTGACCTTATTTTCAACTCGGCTTAAATATTTAGTAGCTGCAAATAGCGTTGACGTCCTGTATGATGCAGACATCAGCTAAAACTTACCGATCCAAATGAGGTTACTTTACTTCTGGGAATTGCAGCAAGTTAAACTCTTCTACTAGACTCGACCCCGACATATCAAATATACATATGTCCAGCATGCAACGAGTCCACGCATGACGCTAACTACCACTTTGCATGCCCAGCTAAATCTCCATATCAGACATTCCTTTCTTTATGGACTGATTCGAAAAATCGTCGAAACAGCTCGTTCCGGGGCCTACGAAAACTTCAGGACGTATTAAATTAAATGTCGTTCTTTCATTAGAAAGGATATGTAGGTATGTCGTGGCAGGAATCTAGTATAACCTAATCTGATAGAATTTCTTACAAAATTTCGTTCGGAAAGACAAAAAAGTACATCGGTTTAAGAATGTCAAAACTTTTCATGTTATAATATTAGATTATTTTAAGGTTCTTTAAGGTTATGACTAAGTATTTTATAAAAACAAATGAATATTATGTAAGTACATCTGTTATTAATGTCCCAATTTAAATAGATTTAAATCACTTTGTGTACAGTGTTTGTATTATTATTGTAGCAACGTAAAATAATGCAATATAATATATAATAATATTATATCTGTCTCTTATACACATCTAAAAATTTAAACATAAAAAATTTAATTTTCTAAAACATTTTAAAATATAACTAATTTATATAGATTGTACTTAATTTACATATATTTTTTTGTAGATTTCAATGTTTTAACAACTGCAAACAATAAACTATTTTTTAGATCGAGATTAAGTAAAAGTACTGGCTTCTGTTGTAGTTTCTTTTTTTATTTAAACCAAAACGAACAACTCTTATATCATCTCAAAATTATGCTGATGAAGTAAGTTTCTAAGTTGTATATTCCTTATTAAATTGTTATAAATAAAATATTATCTTTAATTATGTAATACATCTAAATACATAACCTTAAAAGTGATGTGTAACTATTTAGATATATATGTACAAACTTATGTACAATGCAATGAGAAAAGCATGAAAAAACATTTTGCTAATAAAAAATAGTTGAGTATTTTTTACAAAATGAAAATTTGTTTGATTGTTTTAAAATAAAAAAATATATGACACAAAGAAAACACACCCACGTACTTTGTTAACATACATATTTATATAT